TATAGCTTAAGTAGTAATATATAGAATATATTATATAGTCTATATATCTATAGAGATAGTTATATTCTATAAATATTTTTACTCTAGATATTTAGAATCTCTATTAGATTAATTTATCTATTACTTAGTTTATAGTTTAGTCTTATACTAATTATATTTTTTATATAGATTATAATATAGCTATCTACCTTAAGTTTAAGTAGTATATACTTTTTATTATACTACTCTTTTATAGTTATTTTTGTCTTTTCTAGTCTACTTAATAATAATATATATTTTTTATATAATTTCTCTATATATTCTACTATACTCTGTGATACTGCGGGGCCCTATAGCTTAGATATAATTTATAGAACTAAATAATATTCTATAAAAGTCTCTACTAAGTTATTCTAGTAGTACTATACTTTACTATATTATAGATAAATTATACTAGTAGTAGCTACTATAGCTAGTTATTCTATTCTTAGTTTATATATTTTTATAGATAGTACTCTAGTATCTAGTTCTAATATTCTATTTATCTATCTATCTATGGGTGGTAGACTATTAAGAGATAATAGTATATACTTAGATAGTAGTATAGTGTCGCCATTTCCCCATTAGGCGACTTCCCGTCCTCGCTGGTCGCCCCCATATCTCAGCGCGACTAGGTAGATAGTAATGAACAACCATCTTTGACCCATGAATAGCCTTCGCTGATAGCGACCTCCTAAGAACAGCCAATATTGGTAGCATATCCTGCTTCTGATTCTTAGTATATCCAGAATCAATATAACTTGTTTCGTTAATATTAAGAATATCTAGATTAGTAGATTTATTTAGGACAGATTCTTAGTCTAGTAAAATATCTATAGTAAGAATTACTAGTACTTCTTATCCCTCTATTTATCTTATTTACTATATTCTAAATTATTTCTTATCTTTTACTTATTTTTTACTTATTATATTATTTACTTATTACTATTACTTATTTTAACTATATCCCTATATATCTAATTACTAGACGCGCAATCTAGTAACTAGATATAATTAGTAATCCTAGGATTATATACTAGAGTTCTCTTTTACTTAGAACTATTAGTTAGTTATAAGTATATAATTGTCTATAGAGTTATATATATAATAATCATATATTAATATATCTAGAAAATATTATATTAACTATCTACTACTTATTATATTTTATTAATACTAGATATAAATTTATTATAGCTATTCTAATAGATATCATTACTATAGTAAGATTAATTATCAAGAATTCACTATTAGATATAACTTAAAGAGAAAGAATTTACTATAGTTAAGAAATTAGTAAAGATAAATATATCTACTCTATTAAATAAACTATAAGAAGACTATTTAGAATAGTACTTTATAAGTTTAAAGTTATAGTACTACTCTTATTCTTTATCTATTTACTAGTATTAATAACTTAGATATTATTTAAGGAAGCTGGAAAAGATATAATTCTATATATTAATATCTTTCTTATCTTAAATACTACCTTAACTTTAGTATAATTAATTTCTAGACTAATATTATTAATATCTAAATCTATACTAGTGACTTTTATTAAAATAACTATATTAAAACTATAATTAGTACTAGAAATATCTATACTAGTAATACTAAGACTATTATAGAGTACTAGTTTACTACTATTTTTTATACTATAACTAATCTTAGAAGGTTTTATTAATAGTAATACTCCTATACCAAGATAGTTAATATTAAGAGTAGTAGAATAATCTAATAATATTAAATAGATTAATATAGAGATTAACTCTTCTATACTATTATTAATAGATCTATTACTTAATCTTTCTATTACTATTATAATATCTATTAGTATTATCTTTATACTAGCAGCTGAAATTACTTTAATAACTTTATAGATTTCTAAGTATCTAATATACTAATATAGGGTTACTCAGATATAAGGTAATTATAGGGATACTTTAATATAAGTTAATATTATATATACTAATATAAGTACTTAAACTATAACTAAGAGAATAACTAATATCTAGAAGATAGATTTTACCTAACTTCTTATATAAGTAATAATAATAGTACTTAATACTTATAAGACAAGATATTAAGAATATAAAAATTATAGATAATAGAATAAAGAATATTATACTAAAGAATATTAGAATAATAATTAGATAGCTTCTCCTACTCTACCTATCCTTAGATAAAATATTAATAATAACCTCGAACCTCCCCTATATTAGTAGAACAGTCTGCAGGTAGTCAATAATATATAGTAGTAAATATTAGACATAGGATATTTTTACTCTAATATATCTTTTAATTAGGGACACAGGGACCCAGTTAAATATAATAATAAGATTTATTATTATACTACTTAAGTCTTCTATATATTTCTGAAAGTTACTTTATACTTAAAGAATATAGTAACTATAAGTTAAAATATAAATACTCTATTCTATAGAGATATAAATACCTAGTAGATATAGTAAATTAATAAAATATATTAAATTAGTCTTATTAATTCTAGGAATATTAATTACTAGATTACTATAATTAAGATATATTAGAAAGTTTCTAATAGTCAACTTTAAGAATAACTTAATAATTATTATTATATAGTATATAATATTTATTATAACTAGTTATTAACTATATATATTATAGAAATATCAGGTCTAGTATAATTATATAGTATATTAAATAAGTAAGATATTATAATTAGAGTATAATATTATATTAATCCTAAGCTTTATAAATATATTAAGAAACCAAAGTATAGTACTATACTTAAGGAATTTAGTAATAAGATAAATATCTACTTTACTATCTAGAAGAATAAATAGATCCTAAGTATAAGAGATAGAACCTAGAATCACACCCACAAGGCTTACTTCCCCTAGGAATATAATAGGTATGACTATCTATATGACTGATTTAATTATAGACTGGGTAATTAAGATGGCCCCCAATACCATAGAATCTAAATAGATATCTATAGGCTGTTAGACTGTAATCAGAATAACTAATAGGATTAATATAATATTAAATATAATAATCTCTATAATAATTAAGATGATCATTGTAATAATCTAACTAATTATAGAGATAGTAGAAAAGATTATTATAACTAGAATTAAGAATATAATTATAGTTTTCTTAATCCTCTTTATCAGAATAATCATTACCATGACAGAGGCAGACCCTAGAAGATATATTATAATAATACTAATAGTAATAGTAGCAACAGCTCCTATAGTAGATATTCCTACTATAGCTAATTTAATAGAGTATATAATAAATCCCAGGGCACTTAGGGATATAATAATAATAATAATAATAATACTTATTACTCTAATAATTAGTATAAGGTCCTTAATACCTCTAATTACTAAGAATAATAAGATATATTCTATTCCTAATACTCTAACTACTTTATATTATTTACCTTAAATAATATACTATATATATATATTATAAACTATAATCCTTATATATTCTATATAAATATTAATCTTAATATCCTAGTTATTAAGATAGATAATTTCTTTATTCCTCTAAAACCAGAATAATTCTTTAAGAATTAGCGGTACGCAACTATTAGAGTCTATATTAATAATAAAATAGATACTATATACCTTAACTCTGACTGTATTATATTAATTATTAATAAAAGATGACTTACAGCCAATTTCCTGAATATTCTAGTTATAAAAATAGAATATCTAATTTATATTTAGAATATTAACTAGGTCTTTAATAGTACTAGATATATCTTACTACTACTATTCTTACCTATAAAGATTAATAATAAGTTAGTATTAATTTAAGTTATAGTAGATATATATCTTATCTAGAATCTAAAAGTAAATATTCTTATTAGTGGCAACACCCTTGGGCTGTATAGATTTAATATTAATTTCAAAAATTAATTAGTTTCAGTAGTATACTATTAGAAGATAATACTTTCTTTAATAATTATACTAAAACTAAACTATTATTAAAATTAGCTAGTCTTTATTAATAAGAGGATTAGTATTCTAGTATATAGTAAAGTTACTCTGCTAGTACAACTACTATATCTTAATTATAATTATAACTATATATTTAAATCTAAATAGTATACTAATACTATTTTCTTTGCTTATATTATTAATACTAATTTTATAAGTATAATAACTACTAATCCCTTATTATAGCTAGTCACTATCTATTACTATATATAACTTAGTTATATTTCAGAATTTGATGCTATAGTAGTATACTATATAATACTAGAGTTGTAGAAAGTACTCTAGTTACTTATATTAGTACTACTAGAGATATAAACTAAACTAAAATTTAATATTAATTTCCCTTTAATAAGAAAACTAAAAGACAGTATAACTATATATAATATAATAAAATAGTAGAAAGAGCTTAAAGATCTTATAGATAAATATCCTAAAGTCTAGACTAATTAGAATATAATAAAAGTTTTAATAGACTACTAGCTCTGTATCTCTCTATATAATAGCTGAGAAGATAAGCTTAGTAAAACTACTAAAATCTATAAATTAGGCCTAGTATATTAGAAAGTAGTAGATAATATATTTAATAAGCTTCTAAAGATAAACTGTATAGAGTAATCTAAAAACTTTATATTATTAGATATACTAGTCTTTATTATTACTAAAGTAGTTATTAAGAATACTAGTAAAAAGTTACTTAAACTCTATTTAGTTATTAATATTCATATATTAAATACACTTACTATTCCCAATATATATCTAGTACTAACCTAGATAGATATAATTACTATACTTATCAGTATATTATATCTATCTATACTTAATATAATCAAAATATTTTATTAATAGTCTGTTTATCCTAATAATTAGAAATTTATAGAAGTAATTATATACTATAGTTAGAAGTTTCTTAAGATTTATCTAATAGAATACCTAAACTTAATTCCTTATATATAATAATAAGTAGAAGACTTATTTTATTTAATATAAGAATTTCTTTATATTTATATTAATAATTTTATTCTTTTCTCTATAGAGTTTAAACAATACCTTGTATATTTAGAGAAATTTTTTAGTAAATATAAAGAGATATATATAATACTATCTTCTAATAAGTTATTCCTAGCCTTCCTTTCTATTAAAATCCTTGGTTAGAATATTAATATATTTAAAATAACTACTACTAATACTAAGATAACAGCTATTTCAAAGCTATAATTCTCTAAAATATTAACTAAATTAAATTATTTTATTAGACTAATAAATCAGCTGAGAGACTATATTTCTTTTTATATAGAGATAATTTATTCTTTATAATAAAGAAAGATCTTTCTAACTAAAGCTATTCCAGATAGACTAGGTAAGATAGTAAGACAAAACTAAGTAGTAAAGTTATTATTAACTAAATCAACTAAATAGGAAATCCAGTCCTTTAAAGCTATTAAAAATATACTTTAGTAAAAACTAGTACTAGTATATTTTAATAAATTCTAAATACTCTGTATAGATATCAATATATCTAAGTAAAGAGGAATAGAAGTTATACTTTTCTATATATTATTAGATAACTTCTTAAGCCTAAAATATTAATTAAAGTAGATATTAATAGAGGTCTTCTCTATAGATATAATATAATTAATCCTTTTTCTTAGTAGAGAATTAAGTACTACAGAGTAAAATTACTAGCTAATAGAGTTAGAAATATCTAGACTTTTATAGATAGTAAGAAAATACCGGTACCTTATCTAAGTAGTATAAAAAATAGTAGTCTATATAGATTACTAGATAATTAAATTCTTTCTAAAGTAAATCTTATTAATCTTTATATTAATAATCTATTTAAATCTTTATTTTATCTAGATAATATAGTACTTATAGTAATTTCAGCTCCTAGTAGTCTATAAGCCAGGAAAATTATATATTATATTAGATATACTTTTTAGATTGCTATCTTTTACTATAGGAATAACTAATAATAATAACTTTTATCTTAATATACTATAGAGTAAATCTATAATCTTATTAGTTTATTTTACTAATAACTTTAAATAAAGAGTAAGAGATATCTACCCTAATAATAAGAAATAGTCAAAAATCATAGATTAAGTTAAGAAGAATAATAAAACTAAGACTTTGATTAATTTATTCTTCTATATAGAAGATAAATTACTCTTTAACTCTTAGAATTTACTTTATATATTATTAATTATACTTAAGAAAACCCTTAAGAATATCTATAATATACTTAGTTATCTTAGTAAGAACTATATTATTAAAAATCTCCATAGCTTAATCTTTTTCTATTACTAATACTAGGTTAAGTAATATATTACTCACTACTATAAATATAATAATAAGAAAGTATCCAGATACTATCTCTATAAATAACTATAACCTATTTTATTACCCCTAATACTATTTTATATACTAATAATTAATATTATTACTACTCTACTAGACAGTAGAGGCGACAAAGACTATAATATAGTACTTATAGTAATATATAAATATATAAAAAGAATTACTATTATCTCTAATTATTATAACTGGAATACTATATAATAGACTAGACTCTTTCTTAAGAGACTTATACTTAGAGACTAGGATATTTCTAAAGTTCTTATTAGTAATAGGAATTCTAAATTCTTATCTAAATTATAAATAGTATTATTTACTCTATTAGGTATAAAATAATACTTTATAATAATAAACTACACCCAGGCTGATAGCTAAAGTAAAAGAATAAACTAGATAGTAGAGATCTTTCTTTACTATATAATAATATTACTTATAGATATAGTAGATTAACTAAAATTACTTCTATAGATATAAGTAACTTTAAATATTTATAAAAATACCTTAACTTATTTCTCCCTATATATTCTTATATATAGTATAGAATTACTAACTATATTAAATCTTGGTATATCTATATAATCCAAAGATTATCCCTAAAATTTCTCTGTAAGGACAACCGCCTTTAAAGCTTTATAGATTACTTAGATAAATATAAAGTATTAATATAATACCTAATACTAAGATATAATCTTTTAGAAAGATAATTTAGTAAAGCTTTATCTATATTAGAATTATAAGATATTAGTAATTCTAAAGAAGAAGCTTAATAATATCTTTACTAGATTATTTAAAGTTCTTAAGAAAAAGTCTATATTAATATATTATCTAAAACTACTACTAGAATCTTATATTTATCTAGTTATTAGTATAACTTATCTTAAATCTTATCTATAATAGTTAATAAATATCCTAATCCTCTAAAGAGATCTATTTAAATATATACTATCTGAATCTAAATCTATTATAGATAACTTATATAAAATTAAAGCTCTTCTTAGTTACTACTTCTATAATACTTATTTTAAGTATCTAGTTAAATAGCTGGGATATAGTAATAAATATAATACTTAGTATAAGAAAACTAACTTATAGAATATACAGGAGTTAGTTAATAATTATAACTAATATTACCCCTAATCAGAGTCTATAGAAAAGATAATATACTACTATAGTTACTAGTAATAATAGATATTATTCTTATTTTTATCTTATCTTTAATACTTCTTACTACTACTATACTTTTTAATATCTTTACTATTTCTTATTAGTTCTCTATACTATTATCTTTTACTTACTTTACTATATCTCTATTATTTTATTAAATATATACTACTTTTCTTACTTCCTAATATCTTTATATATTTATTAAAATAAAAAGAAGCAGAAGCTATTCTCTTATATATAAAACTAATACTATTAAGTTAAGAGTATTATCTATAGTCTTAGACTATCTCTAAGTAATATAAATATAGCTTTAGATTACTAAGTACTATCTTACTTGTGCCCCTAGACTATTAATAATTCTAGTTCAGACTTTGAATTAGTATAATACTATACTTTAGAAGATAAAATACTTTTTATCTTAATTCCTTAGTTATCTAAAACTAATAAGATGGGTTTCAGAGCAAAAAGAGCTAAGATAGATAAGACTAAGAATAATAATAAAGATAAAGAAAGTAATAATAAGACTAAAAAGCTTATCCCTAGTATTAATTCTAACTACTATAATTTTAATATTAATAAAGAAATATTACTACTATATTTTATTAATATTAATAGTATAATATCTATAAATAAACTCCCTAACAACTTTCTACCTCTAGAAGAAGTCCTAGTATTTAAAGAATCTAAGCTTCTCTAATTCTTAGTAGAATAGATTCAGAGCTGATACAACTTGTATTAAAATACTATAATATATAATAATTCTATTATCTATATCTATATATAAGAATAGATTTAGGTAAACCTCTATTATATAGTTAATCATAGTAGTATAAATATAACTATCTATAAACTAAATAAATACTAACAGCTTTCTATATTTAATATAGAGATAGATATTAATAGAAAGTTGCTAGAGGTTATAAAATAATTCTATAATAACTTTAAATAGATACTATAAGTATTCACTAAGACAGTCTTATAATAGTAAGTATTAACTATTAACTAAAAAGAAGAAGTTCTTAAAGTAATTCTTAATCTTCTAGAAGATTAGATTAATAAAATAAAAATAATTATCTTAGTATAAAATCTTAATATCTAGTAAATAGAACTTTTACTAATACTAACAAAGACTATATTATATAATTAGATAAATAAATCTATTAAGAAGATTAAGATAAAGTATTATATAGTTTCTAGAGTATATATCTACTCTACTTATCTTAAAGTACTAGAGAAGTATCTTACTAAACTTAAGTAGATTATTACTTATAAATCTATATAAGATAATAATTCTAATTTAGATAAATTTATTTATCTCTTCTTTAATAATAAAAATAATAATATAAAGATAAACTTTACTAATAAGAAACTTGACTCTAAACTCTTATCTAAATAGATTCAAGACTATTATCTAATATAGAAGATACTAATCCTTATAATAATTAAGAAGTTATTTATAGTAATATATAAGCTAACTATATATAATATCAAAATAGTAGATGCAGTAAATAGTCTACTTTAGTATAGATATAGATATAATAATCTACTTACTAAGGGCTATACTTGGGGCCTACTAGTTATAGTATTAGAGAGATATCTTACTAGCAAGGAAATCCTGATTTCGATAATCTTAATAGATAAGGCCTGTGCCTTTCTAGGTACTATAAAGATATGGATATTTAGCTGCTATAATACAACTTTTGCTAATAAACTATTCTATAAATAGCTATTACTAGAATATCTTTGCCGATATTTAAACAAGATCTCAAATTGATTCTACTGTATTACTGTTTTCTATCCTTGCTGACTTTGTTTGGTGGTCTGGTACTATTTCTCTTTAATCTTACTATTAATACTGCGCCTATCTTTATTATTATTAGTCTTGTGTTTTCCACAGCAGCGGTTTAATATCTTTTACTTTCCTTTTTCTTTTTCTTTGTCTTTATAGTTATTGTAGGCTTATCTATCTAGGAGGGGGGAGTGTCGCCATTTCCCCATTAGGCGACTTCCCGTCCTCGCTGGTCGCCCCCATATCTCAGCGCGACTAGGTAGATAGCAATGAACAACCATCTTTGACCCATGAATAGCCTTCGCTGATAGCGACCTCCTAAGGACGGCCAACATATAGTATAGATTAGAAGTAGCTGATAAATACTATTTCTCTATTACTAACTAGACTCTTAGATATACTATAATATAATATAAATTATTTAATTACTATTTATACTAGATTCTCTATAGTTATTTTCTTTAAGTAGAGGATATATAGTATATACTTAGTATAGAGATCTACTATAACTAGTATTATATTATAAATATTATCTTATTACTATATAGAGAGTAGTCTAGTAATAAAATCAAGGCTTATCTAATCTATAGAATCTTATAGTACTAATAGTAGATTTAGTAACTTATATAGTTTATATCTATATATTATATACCATACGAAAATATCAATTTTTGGCATTTGAAGTTTAAAAATTAATAACTTAACTAATTCTTAACCTTTTTTGAAACTTTTTAATAATTTAAAAATCTAACTATTTATTAAATTTCTAGATCTATTTTTAGAATTTTCTATTCTAGTTTAGGAAGGTTATTCTGAAAAAATATATATTTTTTTTAGAATTAAATACTATACTAATAGTTTACTCTTTTTTTTTAATAAAAAAATGTACTTTAGTTAAAATATATCTCTATATAGAAAAAATAAGTATAAGTTCTAATAGTTATTTTCTAAATTTTACTAAATTTTTATCTAATTTATAGCTTCTTTTTATAGAGTAGATAGATCTACTTTTCTTCTATAATTATCTATATATACTATAAGTATAGCTGTTCTATTTTTAGTTCTAAACTACTCTACTAATTATCCTACCAACCACTATACTAACTACTCTGCCAACCACCCTGCTAACTACCCTGCCAACCATCCTATAAACAGCCCTGCGAACAGTCCTGTAAATAGCTTATAAATAGCCCTGCGAATAGCCCTGTGAATAGCCCTGCGAATAGCCCTACAAATAGCCCTGTGAATAGCCCTACAAATAGCCCTGCGAATAGCCCTACAAGCAAGCCTGCGAGGAATAACCCTGCTAACAGCCCTGCCAACAGCCCTATGAGCAAGCCTGCGAGGAATAGCCCTGTCAACAGTCCTGCTAACAGCCCTGCTAACAGCCCTGCAAGTAAGCCTGCGAGAAACTCTGTCAACCACCCTGTGAGCAAGCCTATAAGGAACAGCCCTACTAACAGCTCTACTAACAGCCCTACAAGCAAGCCTGCAAGAAACTCTACCAAATACTCTACCAACTATTCTATAAATAGCCCTGTAAATAGTCCTATGAATAGCTTTAAATAGCCCTGGAATAGCCCTACAAATAGTCCTATAAGAAAGTCTATAAACAAGTCTACTAATAAGCCTAGGAATAGCCCTGCCAACGGCCCTACAAGCAAGTCTGCAAGGAACAGCTCTGCTAATAGCCCTGCCAACAGCCCTGTGAGCAAGCCTGCGAGGAATAGCCCTGCCAACAGTCCTGCCAACGGCCCTGCGAGCAAGCCTGCGAGGAATAGCCCTGCAACAGCCCTGCCAACAGCCCTGCCAACGGCCCTGCCAACGGCCCTGCGAGCAAGCCTGTGAGGAATAGCCCTGCAACAGCCCTGCCAACGGCCCTACAAATAGTCCTACGAGCAAGCCTGCGAGCTAGCCTGCCACCAGCCCGGTAAGGCAGCCCAGCCCACCCTTTAGCAATCCGAGCGAAGCGAGGATCACCAAGGCTTGTAGTAATATATTAATATATATAATATTCTTCTATATACTTCTGTACTATTTTAGATATATCTTTCTAATAGTACTTATATTCTATACTCTCTAGTATTTAATTATATTCTTAATACCTACCTTGTAGGTTATTATAGTTTAGATATAGAATTTCTACTTATAGTATAATAGAGTAGAGAATATATATATAGTTCTTAAAGTATAGTAGACTATTAGTATCTCTATATTATAGATCTCTATCTTATTAGCTTATATACTTTAGATCTGTCTTCTATACTACTCTTAGTAAGTTCTTGATCTTTAGATCTAGTTCTTTTCTATAGGATATCTCTCTATCTATAGTAGCTTTGATTTTATTTAATACTGTAGTATATTCTCTAATTATATTTAGAGATTATATAAGACTATTCTAGTTATCTTATCTTCTATATTTTATATATAGTCTACTTACTAGCTTAGAATATTAGCTGGGTTTCTTTCCTCTATATAATATTTAATTATAAAGTTATACTTGGTTAGTTTCTTTATCTATCTAGTCTATCTATATCTCTTTAATAGTTATAAATTATTTTAGATTTATATAGTCTATTAGAATATATACTAGGTATATACTACTCTTAAAGTAGTAGTACTAGTATTATAGATATTTAATAATTATAAGTAGTTTTATATTATATATTTTATATCTAGTCTTAATATCTATTATCTTTTATAATTAGTAGATAATTAGATATTATTTATTATCTTTAAATAATAGTAAGATTATTCCTATAATAGTAAATCTAGAGGTATCTATTTAGAATAATATATATAACTATAATTAAAAATAGTATAGTATTAGTCTACTTATAAAGACCTTCTTCATCTTTTTAAATACTACAGCTATGTTTCCTATAATAGAGTACTACTAGAGTATATTCTTTTTAATTAAGTTAGTAAATAGTATAGAAATTTTACTATAATTTTTAATAAATCTATAATAGAAGTTTATAAATCCTAGAAAGACTTATATCTTCTTTAGATTTTTTGATTTTGACTATTTCTTTATAATCTAGATATAATCTTTTTTTATCTTAACTTCTATAATTAATACTATAAATCCAAGAAAGTTGATCTTATTAGTATAGAATATATATTTACTAAGTTTTATATATAACTTAAATTATTATAGCTACTCTAGAATTATATATATATATATATATATTATGCTCTTTTTTTTTATTTAGGAAGATTATAATATTATCTAAGTATACTATATAGTATATATCTAGTAGATCTAATAGTATATAGTTAATATAGCTCTGAAATATAGCTGATATATTTACTAAGTTAAATAATATTATCTAATATTTAAAGTATCTATAGTATATTATAAATATAGTCTTCTACTTATTTTTCTTAATATATAAGTAGTAGTAAGTATTATATAGATTAAGTCTATTTAAAATCTTATTTAGTAGTAAGAGTAAGTAACTATTCTTAATTATTATTATATTTAATCTATAGTAGTCTATACAGAGTCTTAGACTACTATTCTTCTTTAGAATAAATAGAACTAGTATACTAGTAGAGCTCTTTAATAGTCTTATCTATCTCTTCTTAATATATTATCTAGATATATATACAGTACTTCCAGTTCTTTTACTAATAGAAAGTAGATATACTTATAGAAGAGAATAATACTTTCTACTAAATTAATTATATAATTATAGTTTCTATACAGAACTAGTACTACTACAGTTTCTTTAGAGAAGACATCTGCAAACCCCTTATATTAATATAGAATAGTTAGTTCTGGCCTTTATATAGTATAGAGTATAATTTCTAGTTCTTCTAGGCTTTATCCTATTTATATAGCTACTAGATATAGGATTCTATCTCTATTAGCTATATAGATATATAGGGAAATTAGTATCTACAGGTCCTTGTTAGTTCCTCTATGGTATATCTATATATATAATTTCTAGTCTATAGCTAGATTTACAGTTTTTAACTAGGACTATTCTAGAATTATATAATAATTCTAGAGATCTACTACTTTGAACTTCTAGTTCTACTATATATAGTTAATTCTCTCTGAATTATATACTAGAACCAGCAGCTAGTAACTCTTATAGAATATTATAGTATAATTATCTATTATATTTATTCTATAGAGTACTATATTACTTAGTAGAAGAAATTTCTTTATCTAGTACTAGTTTATAAAGTTTACTTCTATATTAGAGTCTATTAGAACTTATATATATTATAGCTTCTTCTTCTCTTTAAGTAGTATCTTTTAGATCAAGATCTTAATTATAGAGTATACTTAAAATATACCTAGTACTTATATAGTACTAAGTACTAGGATTTCTAGTTTTTTTTGAGTCTTAATCTACTATATATAGGCCTGGTTAGTCTTTCTACTATAGAAAGATAGTTCTAATATAGATCTTTCTCTTATAGATATCTCTCTCTAGTATTCTATACTTATATTTCTAATAGTCCTTTCTATTATAGTTATAGTAGATTATATCTACTAGAATAGTCTTTAATAGAAGATTCTCTTTAGATTTATACTTCTTCTTATATTCTAAGTTATCTTATATTATTACAGCTAATCTTATTATTAATTATATATAGTAATTTTAGTCTTATTATTTATCTATAGTAATTATCTACTATCTCTCTAGTATATTTTATTTAATTATATAGAGATATATTATATAGATCTTATAGTCTCTAGGCTTCTAGTACTTATATTACTTTATCTAAGTATATAATTTAGATAATATCTTAGTATATAGAATAGTCTTCTTTTACTTATTATTATTTATATAAGAAAGATACTCTTCTACTATAGCTAGTATCTATATAAATATATATACTAACTAGTAATATAGTTAGTTTATCTATATATATTTAATAATAGTCTTTTTCTTTATTAATTTTAGATTATTTACTATATATAGTAGTACTTAGTTAAACTCTACTTAGATATAAGAAGTAGATATATTTATTTATATCTTATTCTAATTATAGAGTTATTATAATATTAGATAGCTAAGTAATCTATATATCTTTTTTTTTTCTAAGCTATAATATTTACTAAATATTTTAAAGTATACTTCTATTATAAGCTTCTAATCTATATACTTCTATATACTATATTCTATAAATAGTTTAATCTCTAGTCTTTTCTTTAGAAAACTACTAGTCTATAGATATAGATTTATAGATTTCTATGGCTTCTCTACTCTAATAGAATAGAATCTTATAGACTATTTAGAGTCTAGGAATAGTATAGCTTTCTCTTATATATTACTTTACTATAGTATCTTTAGTCTATAGAGTTTAAGTTCTTTTTCTCTTTATAGTTCTATTTATATCTAATACTCTATACTATCTAGAGATATATCTATATTACTTTCTAGTAGTCTAATATCTATATTTACTATCTCTTATAGATCTGCTCTAGTCTTCTTCTTATTATTTAATATAGCTTTGTAATAGTCTTCTATATCTAGTAGATAATTAAGTTAAATTAATCTATAGATAACTTCTATAGTTACTATAGTTCCTGGCTCTTCTATAGATATATTAACTTGGATATACTGTGAACAGTATAGTATACTCTATAAGCTACTTCCCTTAGAATTCTTATATATATTAAATTCTTCTCTTTTTTTAAGCAGTTAGAATTATAAGGTATATTGGGAATATGATATACTATATACAATATAGAAGTACTGTATATATTAAACTAACTACTAAGATCTGCTGTAGCTGCCCTTAGCAGCCCCAGCAATAGATATACATTATATGCGCGCACCTTAAGCGAGGCTGCGGTGTGTATTGCGGCCTGAGGCCGCACTGCGCATCACGTGCGCGCACCGTCGCTGCACGGCGACCCGGGTTGTGGCCTGAGGCCGCAGTTCGGCTGCGCGGCCTGACACTATATTGATCTAAAATTCAGATACATCTATAAAAAAATTTATTAAACTTATTAAATAATCTCTATTATTCTAAAATTCTTAAAAATTAATAGATAAGAAAATATTTATCTAAACTTACTCTATTAATATATTAATAGACTTCTAAACTAGAAAATATATTAATAAGTCTATTAAAATAATAGATATTTAATATTATATCTAATAGTTATATATATATATCTCATTAGAATTATTTACTGATTATAGTCTAGTTAAAAATAATTATATATATATTAGAAATACCTCTAATACTATTTAGAAATATAGAATAGTTATATTCTACTCTACTTATCTAAATAGAAATAATATTATCTTTAAATCAAAGAATATTATCTTTATTCCTAGATTCTACTATAATATTATATTAGACTGGAAGATCTAGAAAACTAGACTATTCTATAATAGAAAATATATTCTTTTAAAAACAGCTAATAGAATACTAGTCTACTATATTAGATTAATTTATAGATTATATTTTATCTAATAAGAATAAGTAGTTAAATTCTTAATAATTCTTAATTTAATAATTAGATAGTTAATTAAAATATCCGAAAAGCCCTATATCTTAAGTAGAACTATAAAGAAATAGTATAATAAATTAGAGTATCTAGAAGAAGAAGCTCTAAGATATCTTAGTTAAAAGACTTAGAGTATTTAATTAACTAATTCTAAGCTAGAACTAATCTAGAAATACTCTACTTACTAAATCAGCTAAAAAAATCATTTAATTTTAAGATAAAAAATTAATCTAGATACTAAGCTCTTCAAATCCTATATTAGGATCTAATTTATATAATTACTATATAGAATAAGTAGAAATATATTAGTTATCTTTATTATTTCTATTTAAAATTTAATTTAGAATAAGCTTTAACTTCTAAATTAGATATCTTATAGTTAATTGTTAATATAATTATTTATATAATTAATTAATATAGAACTATATCTAAGTAATTTTACTTAGATTAGAATAGGAATTTTAATATCTTTATAATTTAGACTAGTTCTAGGAAGATAATTATTAATTATTTATTTATTTACTAGTCTAAGTAGAATCCTTTCTCTAAGAGAACTAGAGCCTTAATTACTTCTAAAATAAGATATTTATTAATTAATTTAAATCTACTACTATTTATTTAGTCTAAAACCATAGAAACAGCTATATATATTCTAAATAGAATACTAAATAAATAACTTAATTAGGAAATATCCTACAGAATTATATAGAAAAGCCTTTTCTAATAACTCTTATAGTTACTAGAGAAACCAGATCTTTTCTATTTATAAAAGTATAGATTATATATCTATATCTGGATTAGTAATCTTCTAAAAGAGAATAAACTAGAGCCTAGAGTTCTTATTAGATTTTTTATTAGATATAAAGTTTTAAATATCTAGTAAATATAGATCTCTACACTTGAATAGATAAAATCTATATATAATATTATATTCAATAAAGGGTCTAACTATAAATAAACTTCTAAATAAGAAAGTATATTAATAAATTAACAGCTTATCTAGATAATTAATTTAATCTAAATTAAACAGTCAGATATTAAATTAATTAATTAAGAATTATTTTTATTAGATAACTTAGATATTAAGAATATCTCTAAGACAAAATTATATAATCTAGATAAATTATATAATCTAGATAATTTATATAATCCAGGGGAATTCTATAACCCAGAGAAATTCTATAACCCAGAGAAATTCTATAACCCAGAGAAATCACATAACTATAGAGTTCTTAAAGAATCTAGTTCTTAGTAATATATATTCTATCTCTAAAGACTTACTATTTATCTTACTATCTATAGTTCTTATTAATAATTCTACTATTAATTAAAAGACTTTTAATAAAATTAATTTTCTTAATATAGAATTAATTAGAGAATTAAAAAGATAGAGATTTGAATTATCTAACCTAGACTATTCTAAGAAGAGACTAGTTCTCTAAACTATTTAAATAATAATTAACTATATTAATAAGAGGAAAATCCCTACTATTAATAAATCCCAGCTTCTATTATTATCTATTAACTAGAAGAGATTAATAAGTTATTTCTATTTATCTTAATTTATTTAAGCTTTAAAGATAGAACTTAATTAATTAGATATCTTAGATATCTAGATTATATATTTAATATATAATATAAAGAATAACAAAGTTCTACTACTAAAATAGATAGAAATCTATAAATTTAGTAAAAAAGATTATCTAACCAGATTTAAGATCTGAATATATATAGAGAGATTTGTAGACCCCTAATTAGTTAGAAATATATACTAGTATACTTACAGCTAGATCTCTTAGGATTATTCTAGCTCTAATTATTATATTTAATCTAGAAATATACTAATTAGATACTATTACTATCCTTTTTAATAGTTCTATTAAGAAAAAGATCTATATAGACTCTCTTTCTAGATTAGAAAATAAATAAATAGTTTATCTATTATAAAAGATTCTATATAAACTAAGATAATTACTTCTTCTTTAATAGAAGATTCTTAAAATAAAGCTTAAAGTCCTAGAGCTTAGCTTTATTAAAGAGAATTAATATATCTATATTAATCATTATCTAATTTTATTAATATTTACAGATAATATGATTTATATTTTTTATTAGTTAAATTATAAGAAATTTAATAAATTTAAGAAGAAATTAATAATATTATTTAATATAAAGAATCTTAATAAATCTATATTATTTTTAAATATCTAGATATTATATAATTATCTAAACTAGAAGCTATAGATTAAGTAATTAATTTATATTAATATAATTATTATTAAATTTAATCTAGAATATCTCTAAAGCCCTAAGTTACTACTCTTAAGTAAGAAATTAACTAAGAATCTACTTTTAAAGATCTTAGCTAATTAGATTTATAAATTTTAGTAAAAAGTAGAATTAGTTCTATATTTTATAGTTTAGACTAGATCTAATATAGCTAAATTATATTAACTACTTATAGAATATCTAACTAATTTAAGTTCTAAATATTTTAGAATAGTAGACTACTTAATTTTCTATTTAGAAGAAATAAAGAATCTAGCTATTAAATATAGTCTTAGTTTTAATTAGATAGTTTTTTATATAGCTAGTAATACTAGCTTTAGTAATAATTCAAATTATACTAGCTTAATAGAGTATATTATTTACTTATTTAATAGACCTATTAACTAACTAAGTAAGAAATAATACTATATAATTCTTTCTACTACTAAGACTAAACTATTAGTTCTAACTATAGTAGCTAAATAACTACTTTAGTAAAGATAATTTATTAAATAAATAGAATTAAACTCTAAATATTATCTTTCTATATTATATAATAATACTTAGATAGTCTAAATACTAACTAGTTCTATCTTCTCTTTGTAGACTAGTCTAAAATATATAGATATTATAAATCACTAGCTTAGATAGAAAGCTCTAAATAAGACTATTTATATTTATTAGATTCTAATTAATAATATGAGAGCTAATAGTCTAACTAAGTAATTTAGAGATTAGAAATACTAGTAATTTATTAAATAACTTAATATAGTAAGAGCTTGATTATTTATCTTTTTTCTATTTTAGTAGTATATTTATCTATTTATTTACTCTAATCTTAATAAAATAATATAGTTCTTTAAAACTATAGAGATATATTAGACTGGTAGATTATCTGACTACTAAATCCTAGCTCTAATCCCCTAGATTGAGCTATTTGAACTATTATTCTAGTCTAATCTATTTCTAACTATTTTATCTCTATATTCTTATTCTGTATTCTTACTTCTATATTCTGAATATTTTGGTTTCCTAATCAGGAAATAAATAAATAAAGGATTTTAGCTTAAATAGTCTACTTTATTCTATTATTTCCTAAGGATAATCTTAAATTATTCTGAACCAGTTGACTAGATATATTTCAAAATTAGTAGCTTATATATTTTCTTATTTATTATATCTTTAATTCTTTCCATTTTATTATCTTTAACTTTAACCTTGCTTTAACTTTACTTCCACACTCAGTATGTATGGAAAAGTGAAAGTTAAATAAAGCCCTAATAAGTTCTATTTGAAAAGAACTGAAACTCTAATACTAACTCTAGTAAGTACTATAGTTAGTAAAGAATAATACTAAATATTAATTTATAGAATATTTTATTTAGAATAATATTATAATAAACAAAATAATAGAAGAGATAAATATAGACTATTAACTAGTATAATATCTAGTCTATATAATTTTATATTAAAGTATAGTCTTAATAATTTAAATTATCTATTTACTTTAATTATTTATCTAAGAATAGATAGTAATAAAATAATATTATTTTCCTTGAAGAATAAATCTTTTTAAATATTAATATAAATTAAGAATCTTTATTTAAAATAAAGTAATATAGAATTCTCTAGTTATATATCTAGAAATATTTAATAACTATAAGTTTCTATTAATTAGCTTATGTAGCTGTCATCGGTCCATCCACCGGTGACACTGTCGTTCCTGCCTGGGGTGTCGTCGGTGGTGTTGGTGTCTACAGTTATAGCGGCTTCCTGTATCCTCATCTCCATGAATTAAACAACTATCTTCCACTAATCAAATTATTTGTATTAATTAGTAGCATGTCCTACGCCTTCGTCTTTAATATTTGATTTCTTGGTGTATCCAAGAATCCTCATCTTCTTGATATTATGTCTACACATCTTCTTTTTCATGTCCTACAAATAGCCCTGCTTCGTGCTTTACAAGCAGCTTCAACTTTACCAATTCCTAGGCTTCCAGTAAGCTTTCAGTCGTCTTCTCTCTCCTCACCAGCAACACATTCGTCCACTCCTTCTTGCATTCGCCGGTCAACACCACGGTCCTGCTTGCCAAAAGCGTCATTGACAGTGCCTTCCTTATTGGCGTGGAATAGGTTCTGGCGTCTTCCACCTCTTGAATGTGATTTCCATATTCTCTGCTCCTTCCCCTCACTCCATATTGCCCGCGCCGATGTCCTTGAGTCGTCGGTACAAATGGACTCTGTGCCTTCAGTCGCCGATACAGACAATTCCACGTACCGTCGCTGTGTCGATCACGATCTCGCTGACGCGTATGCATTTGCTGCTACATATCTGGACCCAATATCTGAATATCCTAATATACAGTCTGATTCTTCTGTATCGGCTCCTCCATATACTATATCTACCACCCTCTTGCTCGTGTCGCCGGCTATAAAAGATGTTATTATCATGCTAAATAATATTACTATATATAATAGTAAGATGCCTAGCAAGACTAAATATCTCATAGCTATAGTTAATTAGTATAATATTTAGGCCACCCCATCTAGTAATAACCTCGATATTGCTTTAATATCTAAAGATAAATAGATATTAATTTCTTTATATAAAGATTAGAAAATATAAGTATGTAAAGCTTATATTTTCTATATTAGTCCTTATAATTAAAAAATAATTAATAATATCTTTAATCTATTATATAAGCACAATATAATAGAATATACTAAGATATATATACTATTAGAATATTTTATCTTTATTATCTAGAGAGATATAAAGATTAATAAAAAATATAAATATAAGAGATATATTATTATTAATCCATATAGTATTAATACCAAGACTATTCTTAATATCTATCTGATTTCTTACAAAGAGTAAATATATAAACTCCTTTATAAATATAAGTATATAAGTATTATTAATACTGCTAAATACTTCTATTAATAGTTGGTTATTTATAATTAGTAAGACTATTTAGTAATTATTAGTTACTATAGCTAAGAGATCTTTAATATTATTATAATAGAATAAATGAATAGTATCTCCTATATTTAAAGATATATAGAACTATTTCTTAAAGATCTATTCTTTATTAAGGTCTATATTAATAATTTAGTTACTAGCTCTAAGATATTTAATAGTAATATTAACTATCTTAACTATCTTAATTCTAATAGATATTTATAATATCTCTATTCTCTATTTAGTTATCTAGAGGCAGTTAATCTTAAGATTAAATCTAGGAAATTATTTATAGAATTTTTATCTACTAAAGTACTTAGTCTTTATATTAATATACTTAGTTTACTTATATCTAAGTTAAAGCTTAAAGCTTTATATATCTTAATCTTTCTATATACTTTTATTAAACTAAAATAGTATCTTCATCTTACTGGCTGCTTTAGATATTAGATATATTAATATATACAGAAGACAGCCCCCCTCTAAGTATATAAGATAGTACTATTAAGAGATAGTCTAACTAAGGATTATTCTTAAAAGAACTATACAGTATATATACTGCTAGACCTAATAAAGAAAAAGCTTAATTTCTTTAATTTCTTATAATATAATTTAATAAATTTCTAAATACTTATTTATTTTAATTCTAATAAGCAGTTGTTCATTAATCTAGATATATTAAAAGAAGAATATAGTATTATAGTATATTATACTTCTAATTACTTTATTTCTGAATTTAGAGATACTAAGAAGTAAAAACTAGTCTTGATTTTATATATAAAGATATAATCTATTCTCGGTATATCTTATCTTTTCTAATCTACTGAAACTTATTACTAGTTTACTAAGATAAAAGTTACTTATCTTATATAGATTATTTTTAAACTCTATACTATAATTAAGAGTATAAATATAAATAAACCTCTAATTATTTTTATAGACTATATATTTATAATTAGTCTATATATCCAGGAATCTATATATAATATAGTTGATATTAACAAGCTTAATAAATATCTTATATATATCTTATAGTTCATCTAGCAGTACTATATCTATATATACTATTATCTAGGTATTATAAATATTATTATAGATGCACTCTCTAGATTACTATATATTAATAGTAAACCTTATCTATATAATATTAATCTAAATAAATACTCTGACTAAGTAGATTATATTAAAGTATAATTTAGAATAATTATTATATTACTCTATTTATCTAATAAGTTTAAGAGATATATTAGAGATAGTTATATATATAATTCTTAAATAAATAAAATACTAAGTATCTTATATAGTAATACTACATCTAAAAACCCAGCTATTTTATTATATATTAAAGATAATAAATTACTCTATATACTTAAATATATTATCTATAAGATAAATAATAGAATAAATATTATTATAGATAATCTTTGGCTTTATCTTTTCTATTTATTATCTTAAGATATCTTTACTATAGTCTATAATAATTAGTATTATATTAGCCTTAATAAATATCTTAATATACTAAAGAGTTCTATATTTTGTTAAGAATATTAATTATTCTATTAGTATCTTACTTACTGTCTAATATATCTTTTATATAAGATCTCTAAATATAAGCTATATAATAAACTCTAATTTATAATATTTCTATATATTTTCTTCTATACTATTATACTTTATTTTATTACAGATCTACCTCTTATAGATAAAGAAAAATATAACTAGTTACTTATTCTAGTAGATTTATTCTAGTAGATAAGTTTACTAAAAGAATAGAGTATATCTCTAGTAATATAAAGTAGAAAATTCTTAACTAAAGTAAAAATATTATTATATATCTATAGTTATATAACTAAAAGATTCTATATATCTTTATTAATAACTATAATTATTAATTTATAACTAATCTATCTTATAGTTTATATTCTAATTTATTATTATAGTGATTTTCTAGTACTATATACTATTCTTAAACTAATAGAAGTACTAAATATACTATTTAGATACTTAAAGTTATATTCTAATATACTATAACTAAAGATCTTTTATAATTATCTTAACTTTCTTTTCTTATAGTATCTTTTAATAGTTCTATTTATTTATCTACTAGTTTAATATCTTACTATCTAATATATATTATTAGTTTTAATAAACTATAATACTTACTTAAGATACTTAGTTAACTATACTAATAGAAGAAGTAGGACTTTATATCTCTCTATCTTAATATAGAAGATATTCTTAGGTATACTATTATATATATAGAGAATTAGTATAATTATATATATATACTTATATCTTTTAATATTAATAATAAAGTATATCTCTATCTTTATAAGAAATATAATATTTCTATTATTTTAGTAAAAGATATTCTAAAAGAAGCTTAGATACTAGTAGTCTAGTTCTTTCTATATTCTTAATAATATTAGATACTTATTCTATTATGTAGAACTACTAAAAATATATTATATATATTCTATTATATCTATTATATAGTTAGAATTAGCTTCTAAGAATAAAGATACTAGAGATAAAGATAATTTATTTATTAATCTCTTTAATTAATAGCTCTAAGAATCTTCTGTAGTTAATAAAGTAACTAATAAGTAGAAAGTCAAATAAATCCTTAATAAGTATATATATTAATATAGTTGAGAATCTATATATATAGAGTATCTTAATTATTAGCTTAGATATAGTCTAGAATATAACTAGTAGATATATAAATATAATCTTAATTCTTCTAAGCTTATTTATAACTATAAAGAATAAGTTAATTAATATCTATATTTATTCTTTATCTTTTAATATAGTTAACTTTCTTCTTTTTAATATTATTTTCTTATTTTCTTATCTTCTATATCTATATCTTCTAATTCTTATTTACTTTAAGTATTTGTTTATTAGCTTAATTATTTATCTATATTAATATTTAATTATATTCTTATCACTCTATTATATTAAGGATAATATATCTTTTCTCATTAGAGATAAATATAGCCGTCGTCAGTCTATCCACTGGTGACACTGTCGTTCCTGCCTGGGGTGTTGTTGGCGGTGTTGGTGTCTACAGTTATAGCGGCTTCCTGTATCCTCATCTCCATGAATTGAACAGCTATCTTCCACTAATAAAATCGTTCATATCAGCTTACTATTTAATATTACTTAGAATTAATTCAATCTACTTAGCAAATTTATTAATTAAGATAAGAAGTTATTATATATAAAGAATCTTAGTAAATCTATAATAAATCTATTATTATAGTATAGAATAGTACTAGTATAGAGATTAGTTAGAGTATTTTAAATAATAAGTATCTAGAAATTATATTCTATCTATAGATAGAATAATAATAAATATAGTTCTTTAGTAGTTTTTAATCTTTATATATAATTAAATTATATACTAATATATTCTTACTTATTATAAATAGTATAGAAAATTTTAGATAAGATAGAATATAGAATATATATCTAGAGTTCGTTTATAGTAAGATATCTATTATTCTTAATAGTAAAATTTAAGATTATCTTAAAGTTGAAATAAGTAATTATTGATATATATCTATAAATCCTTATAAATACTTCTTATATTATTAGACTTATATATTATTAATACTAATAAGAATCTTAACTTATATATTAATATAATATTTTAACTTCTTATTAATATTTATCTTATATATATTATTTATCTTAATACTATAGCTATTTAGCTATCTACTAATTAAAGCTATTTATTATAAGATAATAAATTAAATAAGATATTTTCTATATTATTTTGTCTATCTAATCTACCTTCTTTTTTTAAATAGATATAGAAGACTAAATATAATAGTATATATAAGATATATCTTATTGTTAAAGATTTTTATTAATATACTAGAAAAAATAATTGAATTAGTAAGATTTATATAGTTATTATAAGAAATATTAGTTTTAAAATCTTTATTATTCTTATAGCTAAACTTAACTAGATATTATATAGTAGTAATATTCATACTATATTTCCTAATACTAAATTATATAAACTAATATATATTAAATTCTTAAAAGACTTCTAGAAGAATAGTAAATATAGTATACTTATTAAATTACTATATAGTCTTAAGCAGATATTATATAAGTAGCATAATATACTATAATTTTCTTACTATAGATAGCTCTAGGTATTTATATATAGACTACTTAGTATTTATTAGGAAGTATTTCTTTATACTTATTTATATTAATAATATTCTTCTACTAATATAGAATATCTCTATAGTTAACCCTTTTTTTCAAAAAACTACTTAGTAAACTTATTAAAGTTATTAATAATAATCTATATATTTATTTTCTTAGGATTATTATTATATATATAAATAAGAGTATTTATTTTCTATAGAAGTTATATATTAAAGACTATCTTAAGTATTTTAGTATATTAATTCTATAAGATCTCTTCTATACTATTTAACTATAAAGGTTCTTTATTAAAATATATAGAAATTATATAGTCTAATGATATTAAGTTATATTAGAAATATAATAGTATACTAATCTAGATTATATTTAATATAATATCTAGATATTATATATACAATTAGTAAGCCAATCATTTTTTATGATAAATTCTAATACATCTTATATCTAAGCTATAATTCTTATCTAATATTATTTTACTAGTTCTCTAAATTTTTATCTATTCTATTACTATAAAGATTCTAAACTTATTAACTACTATAATACTAACTAATAGATGTATACTCACTTAATACTAACTTAATATTAGAATATATCTTTTAACTTATTAATAGTTCTATATTATAGAATTCTAAATTTAAAATTACTATTATACTATCTTCTACTAAGAATTAAGAGTATACTACTATTATCAGAGCTCATGTCTTATATCATTATTCATCCATTAATCTGTTGTTCCAGATAGATACAAAGGGACCCTCGAGAAAGAGATAATGGGAAGGGAAAGGTTTGACCCCACAGGAACCCGAAGGAAGGACCTGAGAGCTCAACATCTATTAACTAAAGCTACTATTATTCTAAACTATTTATCTCGTAATATCTATTATCTAGCTAGAGTCTACTATTAATATTAATTGATTTAATTATATTCTTTCTAAACTACTCTATGTAGAAAATAAAAGATTTTCTAATTAAGCTAATTACTAGAAAATTAAAGTAATTATTAATAAGTCTCTTATCTATAAAGACTAGTATTGAATGTCTATTCTAGAGTATCTAGTCTATTAATCTAGATATAGATCTAAAGATAATTAGTAGATATATATATTAGATATTACTACTAATAAAAAGATTAATAAATATGAAATATTACTATTATTAATAATCTAATATATCTTATATAATTTCTATACTCTATATCTTTATTTATATATATCTATAATAAGAATACTATGATAAAAGACTAGTATATATAATGGTAGAAGATAATAAGTCAGTTCTATTATAATATTCTACCTTAGAGTGGAATCTTAGTTCATCCCATCTCGGGATCTTGGAGAAAAAAAACAACTTCATCATGATATAAGGAACGTCTCCCTACCACAGCTTTGACAGATTAGTCTTGAAAAATAGGGACTGCTATTATTCTATACCTAACTGATCGACTTTATTTTTAACAAAATAATTAGGTGTAAACTTGAGAATATGATAATAATTAAATAATCTACAGTATAAAGAATAGATAGTACAATGTCTAATAGTTATAAGATATAATAATAGTAATTTAATAAGAATAAGATATTATATAATTGTATAATTAATAACTAAATTAGAGTAGAAATTAAGACTATTAAGTAATTTATTATAGTAATAAGAAAGAAGATAGTATAGAGAATTAAGAATATAATGATTTGATTAGTATAGATTTTAGTAATATATATTATATTCTCAATAAACTGAATATACTACTATATAAAAAAATAACAAAGGGTCCTTATGATTGAATTTGTTCCGAATATTTTTAGAACCAACGAGGTGGCCAGAACCACGAGATATCCGCCAAAGGCAGAACTATCTGGCAAGACCACCGGCCACCATACCGGAAGGCTATTCCCCTAAGCTATTCGCTACAACAGTTTTCTGACAATACAAAACACCGCAACTGTTTTTGAACCCATTTTGCAGCCGTATGCCCAAGTCACCGCCAGCTGACAAGAAACTCCTGTTGAGCTAAGGGGCTCTTTTCTGATTTACCCAGTAGCTTCATAACTACTGTTCGAGTTAATTGGGTCTTACTAGGTCAGTGCTTCAGTGCTTTTCAAGCAAAGGTTTGTGCTATTGTCATCCGCAATTCATGAATAGGTGGGGCTGGAGGCGTCGAACGCACTGGAGATCAGAGGCATGTTGAGGAAGGAGCGGACCCGCCGGTACAGTACACAGGACAGAGGAACCCTGTCGCCACGGGAAGGCTAAGTCAAGACGCTCCCATCGTCATGAAAACTGCATTTGTACGAAAAAACTTTCAGGCTTGCGAGGAAGGCGAGCGTTTGCTTTTGATAAGAGATATTGTTTGCTGCCTAGCGGCAAATCCAGAATAACTCAGATAACACATGCCTTATATTGGAAGAATCATGGTCTATGCTCAGTATGATGAGAGCCAGAACACAGATATATCTGAGTAGAAAGCAAATATGCCTTATGTTCATGTCGGGCCTTCAGGTTTGAACTAGATACTGTTCGGTCTCGTCCGGTGGTGAGACACCTCGGGAAGAAACATGTTTGTCACTCAAATTCACAGCAATAAAAGTCTTCGGTAAGCTGACACTGAAGCACTACGGTCAGCATCCTTGCCGCTGCAAGGTATAGATCTAGAAAGAAACTTACGTATCGAACTTCGCCTTGAGTGTTTCAATAACTTCTTTCCAATCCTGGTGAGGTGTCAGGCTTCTTCTAGGAGCGCAGCCAATGGCATGTCTGGAATCAAGCTGAACGTCTAGAGGATCAAAAGCATGGCACCCAGGACTGATCGAGATGCGAATGGAGTAGGAATTGGTTGAAGACTCGCGGTCCTTAGCCTCATAGAGTTCGAAGCAGATTTGTGAAAGATAGTCCAGCTCGGGTATAGCTGTCCTGGCTATTTTGGTTTGGATCCCTCCTTCTAATATGCAATTGAGCAGGGTGTAGATGTGAGATTCTTTGGTGAAGTAGAAGAAAGATTTCGCATCAGGGGACGCTTGAACTTCTTCGAGATCTCTTACTATCCCCTGTAGAAGTGGCAAAGACGTGAGTAAACCTATTTCAAGCTTTTCCGTATCTGTGATTCCATACTCCTGTGGAGTCACGTAATCAAAGAGAACTTTGGCTAACTTGTATAGCTCTCGCAACTTCGATAGTCTTCCATCCATTTTACACTTCGAGGGACTGGATCCTGGATATAATTTGAAGTAGTGGTCGTACGTGTCATCGAGGCCTCTGAAATGTGGCATTGATTCAAAGGCATGCATGCGCTTTTTCCAGCCAAACCGATGAGCAAAAGATGGAGTTTCGGACGAATGATCAATTTTTTCATGGCTTGCGCCATCTTTGCTTGATTTGGTGTCTCCGGTCAGGTCATCTCGCGTGACTTTCATCCAGCTATGAGCATCGTGTTCGTCGTCAGTGTCATCGTTATCGGGTGGCATGAACACCCATTCTAGGAATTGTCGATTGTGTAGAGCATCAAATTTCATGCTATCATATAGCTCAGAAAGCTTGCTTGGGTCAACCTTTTCTGTGTCACAAAACTCGGCGAATAGCTTCTCCCATCTCTCCTTGAAGAGCATTGGGTCTTCCCCCGTACACCAGCGTCCTTGAATGGAAGCCAATGCAGGGTTCTCATAACGGGCATCCAATTCATGGGTGCAGTGTTCATCTTGTTTATCGGAGAGTACGGATGATGGAGACTTCGGTGACAATTTGTCAATCATCCGAAAGTTATGTCTCATAACATCTCGGTGATATTTCATTAACTCGACCACAGTTGCCAGAACTACTGATGGCTCGGGAATATTGTCTTTGGGCCATGTAAATTGTGAAGGTGCTGAACCCTCCCGCAGAAGCAGCTTTAATTTCTTCTTGACCTTGTCCATGAGATCTTTCGCCGCATTGGAGTCATCCAGAAGATCCTTTCGTACCTGTATGAAATTTTCGGGAAGCTCTTTTTGATCAAGAAAGGCGCAGGCCCAAATTTGAGCTAGGAACCATGAGTAAGTATGATTTGAGGCGTGAACATATGATATGGTCTCAACTCACCACTAGTGCTCACCCTTCTTTCGGAACTGGTGAAAATACGAACATTGTTCAATGCCTCTTTATTCATTAATTTCAAATCATCACGCATATTGAGCCCCAGATCCTGCGACTGGTAGCGTGCAGCATGGGTTGGTTCACCTCCCCACTTGATAACGAGCTGAAGTTTATCGAGAATGAGGTCGTTCTCTGCGGCAGAGAACCTCGAAAATGTAGCGCCAGAGATTGAGTCACTTCGCGTTTGAGGCCGACCAGATCTATCTTCAGATGGAGTCTGGTTGTGACAAGCGCGCTGCGAAGATTCTTCCTGAGAAGACTCCCCATCAGGATACGTTACCGGGAGAGTGGAAGTGGACTGTCCCCGCAACTCTTCGGGTCTTCTCTTGCGGAACATTGGCTTGATTTGAACCTTGGTCCCGGGCCAACCGCCCTTTTTCTCCAAGGATGTGCGGAGTAGTTTAAGTTTATCCAAATCTTCAAGCTCCTCTTTCATAGCAATTCTCACAGCTTCTGAAACACTAGCCAACGCCGCCTCGCCTTTGATTACCACCTCTTCTTGATGACCCTTCAGTAAATCAATGAAGGGTTGACTGTGGAAAGTAAATTTGAACTTCTGCTTCGGTGTGCGGTCAGCATGTCTTATCACTGCAACCATTCCTTTCAACTTCCAAGAGTGTTTGGATGCAGGAGGTGGGGGTGGGCAGCCATCGATAGATGAATCAACTGATACTATGGACGCTTTCAAGTTTTGCGGGTCGTAGGCTTTTGTTGTTGCAATTTTCTCCCTCGAGATGTGGCTTTTGTGACTGTTTCCATTGTCCAGGCTCTCACCAGAAGGAGATGTGGTGGGCCGGTTAATAATAGACTCTGTTGATCCTGTCTCAGAGCTGCTGAGGCTCTGTTGAGGCCCTTGGAGCTTGGATGAGCTGGGAGATTTCAATAGTGTTTTCAACGTGGTCCTTTGTGATATGGAGTGCCTCCAGCTGTGACCTGATTCCTGAGGCAGAGAATCGGAAGGCTCCTGCAAGCCTTGATACCGGCGCTTCTCGCTAAGGAAAATATCCTTCAAGATGCTAGCGCATTTGTCATAATAGTCGTTGTTGTCTTTGACGAAACTCCAGCCATTAACATCAATCACATAGCTTTTCTCTCCAACACGGAGCATGTCAAAACCACAAATTCTCTGACCAAATCCATTCGATATCTTTGATGCAATAGATGCTTCTTCCCTGCTCAGTTTCGTGATATATCGGATTTCTTTTCCATGAGTATTGCGCCGAACAAGCCCATCGACTACAGGTGACTTCCGCGTTTCCGCATGGCAAAAGTCAGGTCCAACGGTGTAGGCCTTGACATCCTCTGAATTATCGACCCTCAGAAACTGCTCGTATATGTAGCTCGTATCATGTTCCGTAATAGATCTTGGAGTAATGAGGTTGGGATCATATTCGGAGCTTTTATTTCCGACTTTGCGGAAAAGTCTCCTGCCGCCACCCCCGTATTGCTGGTCATTGGGAAAGTATATGTGAATATTATGGTCTTCGCCGTTCACCGGCTTCTCAACGAATGGTTTCTTGATGACTTTGCCGTCGACAATCAAGGAATCACCATCTTCCGACATTGTCACCTTCATTGACCGGGGCGCCCCACCGCCAGTGCCGTCGCTGGGCCCTTCAAGTTTGACGCCTGTCATCCTATATACATGCTGAGCGAGTTCGGCGGATTCAAGTATGGGTCCACCATCGCGGTTAACTTCCATTCTTTTAGGTGAAGGCACACCCATGTGATCTAGTACTCTGAGACATAGTCGCCGGTCCCATAGTACCTTTTGCATAGGCAAATCATTGACGCAGAAAGGCTTCCGAAGTCTTGCGTATGCGATAGCCTTGTCCAATGGAAATCCATCCGAAAAGAATGCTATGAGGTATTCACATATTGGCCAATTTTCTACAGCCTCGTCAAGGATAACCTTGTCACCGAAGACAATCACTTCAAAACCACCTTTAGCTTGCAGGCGGGTCAATATATTCTGGCTGGGTTTGCTGCGGGCCTTAACATCCAAAGCACAAACTCCGATCCTGCCTAGTTTTGGTAATGAAGGTTCGGTTTCGCTTGTGGAAGAACTTGCTGCTGTGCTTGCACTGAGCCTTCTAGGCGCCCCGCTTGATGGCCGGTTTTCGTAATTCTCCTGGGCACATGATTGTGAGTCCAATATAAGATCCGACTTGCGCGAATTCGCGGGAACCGTTTGCGTGTAGATTGAACTGCCCTTGTTTGCGGCAGATGTTGCGAGGACATTTGTCGGACAGGAACCGGTCTTCTTATGACTGGGATGGGTGACTGCAGAGCACACTAAAGCAATTGAGTCCGCAGAGGTGCCAGCTGTTCCGTAATCAGAAGGATCGAGTCTATTGACATGACCATTGCTTTGAGCCTCGGGGTCCATCGTTGCAGGAAGACGCCGGCTTCAGATATAAAGGCTCTTGGCCTGGCGAGTTGTTTGGTCTGGAGAGGCGTCACGACTAACGCACGAAGATAGGAAAGGCGAGGTAACAGTGATTACCGAGCTACTGCCAAGATTTTCCAAATCCACTCATTAGGTGGAGGTATGAACTGTACATATATGTAAGATACTTGATGACCTGGCTTGTGTGGTGGTAGCCTGTAACGACGAATTAGTAAGTCTGTTGGCTGCCTTGTGTTTTCTATTTGAAAACAGAGTTTGACACCCGCACACTGCGACGGGTCATGAGTAATTCAGCTTCTCTTGACATCATAGACATAACTGCCATAGTCCATTGTGTGTAATGCTAATAAAGTGCCGTAGTACGATTGGGTACCTACCCAATTAACGATAACACCAATCAAGTAGGTGACTTGACGGATTGGTACGCTGAGATAAAGCATCCCCGCCATTGTAAGCAGCCCGACGGGCACGGGTTATATACAAGAAAGCCTACTTTTAAACCTCTATAAGAGATTCTATTATTATTAGAAAAACTAGAAGAATTAAGACTTCTATATAAATTACTATAAGAAAACTAGTAGAAAACTAATAAAAATTATTTAATTTATTATAATAAGTACTATGGTATTTTATTTTTTAAAAAAGAAAATAAGAAGATTTATACTAAGATAGAGTAAATGATATGGATGATTTGTTATGTGGAAGATAGTTGTTCCATTAATGGAGACAAGGATACAGGAAGCCGCTATAACCGTAAGCACCAACACCACAGACAACACCCTGGGCAGGTGTAAGGGCTAAACCAACCCTTCCAACCTTCGCGAGTAGTCGCGAAGGGAAATCTATATAGCAGGCCTCAGGTACCAATCACGTGATAGATAAGTAAGTAGACTGCGACCTCCTATTTAGGGGGGTGGGTGACTCACAGATTAGATAGATTAGTAATAATATCTTAAGATAATCAACTAGTATCTTTAGTCTTATAAGACTATTTATTTATTATATTATTTTACTATCTTAGTTCTTATAATCTTATTACTTAATACTCTATAACCTAGTCTAGTAAATAATAATTAGATATAGAATATAAAGCTAAACTAGAAGTAACTACTCTAATCTAATTATAGAGCACTATATTTTAATTATAAAGAATAAATTCCAATCTAGAAACTCTATAAATATTTATATTTACTTAAATAGATTATAAAATTATAAGAATAACTAGAAATTAGTAATATAAAAAAGTATCTATAAAGAATCTTAAATAACTCTAATTCTAGTACCATAGAGATAAAGAGAACTAATATATATATTAATCTATTTATAAATAAGAACTAGTATAGTATCTATAACTATACTATCTACTATATATTTATTATATATTAGAAATTAACTATAAAAATAAATAATCAGAATTTAAATTAAAAGATATATTGTCAGACTGGCAGCTCACCTGACTACCAAACCCTAGCCCTGATTCCTGGATTGAGCCATTTGAACCATTGTTCTAGCCCAATCCATCCCTGGCTAATTTACCCCTGCATTCTTACCCTGGATTCTCACCCCTGCATTCTGAATGTTTTGATTTCCTAATTAGGAAATTAATAAACAAAGGATTTTTACTTAAATAGCCTGATTTATTTAATAATTTCCTGAGGATCATCCCGAATCATCCTGAACCAGTTGACCAGATATATATTAAAATCAGTGGCTTGTTTATTTCCTTATTTATTCTATCTTTGATTCTTTTGATTTTAATTATCTTTGACTTTAATCTTGCTTTGACTTTACTTCTATACTTAGTTTATATAGAAAAGTAAAAGTTAAATAAAGCCCTAATTAATTCTATTTAAAAAGAACTGAAACTCTAATAGTTATAAGCCTGGAAGACCTCTTACTTTGATTTATTCAATCCCCCTGTTAATTGAATCAACTACAGTTAGTTCTATTTAATATAAACAATCAGATTATTTAGTAATCTGATAGAATCCTATAATTAAATCAGTCATATGACTGGATTCTATAGATTAATTAAATTCGACTATTCGTAATCAATAAAGAAATATAGGAATTAGTAAATCTAGAACTGCAAACCAAGCCTACCTACCCAATCCGGCCTAGTGCTATTAGTATGAAACAGATAAAATCATTAGTAAATTTAATAATCAACTTAAATAAATCAGACTATCTACTATATTAGGAAGCCAAGCAGGACTACTATCAGAATCTTAAGGAATTTAATAAAACTGCTTCAGAACTAGCCTTATTAAGTCTATTAATTAATTCTATATTAAGTAAGCAAAATTAGTATACTATACTTAATTTAGAAAAGCCCTATTAAATCCTTTAAGCCCTACGAAACCGCCTAGTACTAATTAATTAATTAAGGAAGTAAGATCTTATAAATTAATATCACTACCTTAGGACCTTAACAAAGGGTTCTATTAAGAGCTATATTAGTTGATAGGAATTAATCTATTCTAAAGTAGTAGAGCTTTAAATTAGTAAGATTAAGGAGCTAATTAGAGTACTTTTTAACTTTCTTAAATTAATTTATAAAATAATAGGTATCTTTATATTAATATAGTAGTCCAGGCTTATTAAAATTAAAAATAGTTAGAAAGAAATCTCTAAATTCCTTGAACTAATCTGTAAGGCACATGACTGGATTTGGTTAAATTATCAGAACAGATAATCTATTAATAAGTAAAATAGAGTAAGTTACACCACCTTCCAGGACTAAAGTAATATACTAGAACAAGATAGTAAATAAACTACCGAAAATAGAAATATATAAATAAAGCCCTGAAAGGAGAGATTATATAGCTAATCCTACCTCTATAAGTTAGGAAAGAATAATAGAAACCATAACTTTCAGAATTATTAATATATTAATAAAGACCTCTGAAATTTAATATAGTTATCTGATCTAGATGTACTAAACCACTTTCGGCAAGCCTGTAAGAACCCGAAATTCAGATATATCTATAAGAAAACTTACTAAGCTTATTAAATAACCTCTATTACTCTAGAAATCTTTAAAAATCAATAAATAGAGGAATATCTATCTAAATTTATTCTATTAATATATTAATAGACTTCTAAACTAGGAAATATATTAATAAATCTATTAAAATAATAGGTATTTAATACTACATCTAATAATTATGTGTATAATTCATTAGAATTATTTATTAATTACAGACTAGTTAATAATAATTATATCTATATTAGAAATACCTCTAATACTATTTAGAGATATGAAACAGTCCTATTCTACTTTACCTGCCCAAAGGGGAATAGTATTATTTTTAAATTAAAGGATATTATCTTTGTTTCTGGATTCTACTATAATATCATGTCAGGCTGGAAGGCCCAGGAAACCGGACTATTCTATAATAGAAAATATGCTCTTTTGGAAACAGCTAATAGAATACTAGTCTACTATATTAAGCTAATTCATAGGCTATATTTTATTTAATAGGAATAATTAGTTAAATTCTTAATAACCCTTAATTTAATGATTAAACAGCTAATCAGAATATCCGAAAAGCCTTATATTTTGAATAGAACCATGAAAGAATGGTATAATAGATTAGAGTATCTAAAAGAAGAAGCCCTAAGATACCTTAGTTAAAAGACTTAGAGCATTCAATTAACTAATATTAAGTTAGAACCAATCCAGAAATACCCTACCTGCCGAATCAGCCAATTAAATCATTAGATTTCAAGACAGAAAATCAACCCAGGCACCAAGCCCTTTGAAACCCTATATTAGGACCTGATTCATATGACTACTATATAGAATAAATAGAGATATATTAGTCATCTCTATTATTTCTATTTAAAATTTTACTTAGGGCAAGCCCTAACTTCCAAATCAGATATCTCATAGTTAATTATTAATATAATTATTTATATAATTAATCAATATGAGACCATGCCCAAGTGATTTTATTTAGATTAGAATAGGAATCTCAACATCTTTCTAATTTAGGCTAGCTCTAAGAGAATAATTATTAATTATTCGCCTATATACCAGCCTGAGTAGAATCCTTTTTCTGAGAGGGCTGGAGCTCTAATTACTTCTAAAATAAGATATTTATTAATTAATTCAGGCCTGCCACTATTTATTTAGCTTGAAACCATGGAAACAGCCATATATATCCTAAATAGGATGTCAAATAAATAACTCGATTAGGAAACCCCCTATAGAACTGTCTGGAAAAGCCTTCTACAATGACTCTTATAATTACCAGAGAAACCAGACCTTTTCTATTTAAGAAAGTATAGATCATGTGTCTATACCCAAATCAGTAATCTACCAAAAGGGGATAAACTAGGGCCTAGAGCCCTTATTGGATTCCTTATTAAATATAGAGCTTTAAATATCTAGTAAATATAGATTCCTACCCTCAACTGAGTAATATCTGCACGTGATATTATGTTTAACGAAGGGTCAAACTATAAATAAACTTCTGAATTAGAAAGTATATTAATAAAACAACAGCTCACCCAGGTGATTAATTTAATCCAAATTGAATAGTTAGATATTGAATTAATTGATCAAGAACCACCTTCATTGGATGACTTAGAAATTGAGGATATCTCTGAGCTGAAATTATATAATCCAGAAGAATCCCATGATTCAGAGGGATCTCATGACCCAGAGGGACCCCATGACCCAGAGGAATTATATAACTATGCAGAATCCTTGGAGGATATAGTCCTTGGTAATATACCTCCTACTTCTAAAGACTCACCGCCTGCCTCACCGCCCATAATTCTTATTAATAATTTCACTATTAATCAAAAGGCTTTTAATAAAATTAATTTCCTTAATGTAGAACTAATCAGAGGATTAAAAAGATAGAGATCTGAATTACCTAATCTAGACTATTCCTAAAAGAGACTAGTTCTCTAAGCTATTTAAATAATAGTCAATTGTATTAATAAAGGGGAAATCCCTAATATTAATA